TCACGATCGTCGGTCGAAAAAGGAGAAGCGCGAGCCTTCCGCGCGCGCACCTGCCGTGTTGCGGCATCGTAAGAAGGCTCCTTCGCTGGAGAAAATACAGCGGGAACCCACGGATACGAACGAAACTTCTTATTCGTTCCAGAGTCTCCCGAGAATCCGTCCGAGAGCCGTGCGCATGTAAATGCGCGACGCAAGTCTTGGAGAGGTGATATTTCGAGGTCCGCTGACGTCGGGCCCCGGGGACCGACGGCCATTGTATCCGCGTTCGCTCGCTGGCGCTCGCTCGCGCGCCCCCTGCTCATTAAATATTAACGAGAGTCTCAATTTCTTCATTTCGTTGATGAGTCGCCGCGCGCCATCCGAGAGAACCCGCATATAGATTGAAAATTAACTTATATGAGCGCCGACAAAATATATACGGCATGCGGTGCACTTATACGACTGAAGAGGCCTACAATTTACACGAGAGAGCTCGCTATGTTGGTATAACCCCTAAGTAGAACCCTCGTCTCCCCCGTCGCACTTCTTCCCTTCTTCTACTTCTTCCTTCTACTTCTCTTTCGTCGTCTTCTTCTTCCTCGTCGTCGTCGTATCTTCCTTTCAGCTTATCCACTTCTGACCCGAACGTGAAATCCTTAAATACCTAATTTGATGCTAATTACAACTTGCACTTGCACCTCGCGAGAGACCGCTAAACGCGTTCGCGTGTGGCGAGAAGATTTAATAGTGTGCTCGGAACGTGATATATGATGGATGATGAAACGTGTCGTCGGTAAGGCATCAAGATTGAATCTTCGAACTTGAAAGTGTGTTTGTATCTTCAAAGCATTCGATTTTCAGCATATATTGAAATCTCGCAGATCTTCAATATTTAGTTATATGTTTGGTTGAATCCCATAATCGCAGTTGAGTTTTGCGATTAAAAAAATTTTTAATCTTGTATAAATACAAATAAATTTCGTTATATGTGTGAATTTCATTTCAGAAAATTATAAAGTAGATTGCTTACAAATCTTTGAAGAAAGCTTATAGCTTATATTTCGGTTGTCAAATTGGAAATCAGGATTAAAGAATTGGTATATGTTGTTATGTATCTCTTTTCACATAGTTGAAAGAAAAAAAAGTTTTAAATTCATCTCGCGATATAAAGTAATGAAAGAAAAATAAATAACATTTTTATTAAAAATAACGTCCTGGTAAACTTTTCAATAACAAAAGCGTACTACAAAGCTTTATTGACATTTTTGTATTCAGTAAGCAAAAACGATTAAAATGATCCATCTTATTGGGTCATAAAAAATTATTTATTGACTAATATAATAAAAATAAAGAATTATTTCACGTGCTTCAACATATTAAGTCAAAAATTTGTATCTACTGTATGTGAAATGTATAAAATTACTTCGTAAAAGATTTAATTTGATCATCGTGCTTCATTAAAAATCAAAGCGCATGTCTCGTATTATATTGTGCACTAATTGGAACACGAACTTACCTTTTTTTTGTATAATCTATATAATTCGGAGAAGGAACATCAAATTAAAGAAGGGAGCAAGTTGCGTCTGAGTCAAGACGTACGTAACCATTTATTATACGATAATAGTTGCACTCGAATGTAGCACATTAATTTGTCTATAGACTTGGAAATAATTGCTTCGCTCTTTAACATGTACGCTTAATGATCGCTATGCTACATATCTAATGTGCGACCTATCGATTTTCCCTGCCGAGCATTACGTGACGGGATACGTCGTGAAAGATGCCCGTAAAGTGTTTGGACTCACTTTATTTCAAAAAATGAAATAAAGAAAATAAATATAGCACAGTTTATAAATACATAGGAGAAAGATATAATGTGTTTTCTTCTGTTATTAATTTTTACAAAAATACGTGAATACTGTTAACCCTTTGTGGATGCGCGATTCCATTTGAGATCACATTTTATTTTGCAAATTACTAATTTGATTTTTATGAAACTTGGCCTATGAAGTATAATAATTTGATGATGCTTTATTCGAATTTGAGGTCAAAAACAAAAAAATTTGAATGTGAATTCAATATGGCAGACAAAAATTATAAAGACATCCGATTAAAATTCAATTTTAGAAAATTTTTAATTTAGAAGTAGTATCAAATTTTTAGTTTCGCTTCATTTTTCGCCCATCAGTGTTATATAAATGGTAGTACTGATTTCCAAACTGATATTCAAATTCTGATTATGAACTCTGACAATAGATATTTTTTTTTCATTGGAGGTTACTTATTAGAGTTTACTCTTCCAAAATTCATTTTCAGGCTACATTCAAACTCAGCGATTCCAGAAACTTCCTTTCTCAATAATCAGATTATTTTTTTGAAATTTGAATTTTAGAATACTGAAATCAGAATCGAATATAGCAATCTTGAAAACCCTTAGAAAATAAGATCTTTGTTAAACAACTCCCATCCTCAGAGGGTTTCCTATTAAATTAATGTTTAAATATTAGCCAATTAAATTGCTACGTGCACTAATACATTTTAAATTTTCGTAAAACCTTACTGTTACTTAGCCCTTCAAATACAGTTTTAAATTAAATGTTAATATTATAGGTAGGAATTAAAAAAATGTTTATCAATGATCGAAAAAAGAGTGAACAAGGTTAATCAATGTTAATCAACATATAAATGTCGCAAGAAAAAGTCGTCAATAATTAACTTGAATAATTCCACAATATTTAAACTTTGCGTGCTTCATTATCGGACGAAGTGTATTCAAGCGAAAAAAATGAGAAAAAAAACATTAAACGAGTAGGTTCCTATGATGCGCTACATGTGCCCGAAAAGATCGAGGTTTTGCAAACTCGCGACAATCTAATCTTCATTACGCAATCACACGTAGGTGGGATCACGTTATTTGCGTCAAACTTGCGTCAAAACACGTGTGTATGTGTGTGCCTCGTACTGCTCGAATTCAAAGATGACGATTTGAAAGGGAAACGTGAATGCAAGAACGCATAATGTGAAAGGCTTGATCAAGGCGAAATCTCTCATCCTCCGAATGACACGCGATAATCCGGATCGCGATTTGCAAAAATATATTATGTCCTTTGAATTCCAGCAGCTTGTTAAAAAATTTTTCCTTAGCTAAGTTTTTTGGCACGAGCAGAGGAACGCCGTTTTTTCTTTCTTTTTTTAAGAAAAACTTTCATACGTTTACGCCGCTAATATAAAATTCATAGACGCTCGCCTAAATTTTTATCGAGCTTCGCATAATTTTGTTTATATGAGTCGATTCTGTCTTTTAACAACTATATAAATTCGCAAACTTATCTTCTTTGTTATTAGATATTTAATAAAAAAAATTATTTTGTTAACATATTAGCAATCATTGTAAATTATCATCGTCTGATTATAAGTTCAATTAATGGATGTGTAATATAACTAATTAACTTCGAATTGATAACAGTGCGAAGCTGATAAAAGATAGTCGGGCGCCAAGTCTCGTATAAAATCAATGAGAGGACAAATGAAATAATTTTCCTACATAATTGCACATGTAATGTACGTGTCCATCCGCATGGGCGAGTCTTCATTTAATTTAGCAGCCCTTGCGACATCGTACAGGGTGTTCTAAACAGTTGTATACAAGGTTTTAACTAGAAATGATGTTGATATATTTCAAAATACACAATTTAGATAAAGTCTAAAAAATACGATTTCATCGAAACTTATGGAAGTTTTCAAATATCATTCAGAAACATTGACAAATCGTTAGACATATTCAAATGTAACTAACTTAGAAATGTCAAATATAATATTTAAATTTTTTAGATTGATATTTTTTTAGACGTTTTTCACACCTTTTATTACTTCAAAATTTATGTTTATACATCTAAAGTTTCAAAAATTTTTTAGGAATGTTTACCAAATGTTACATTTAAAAACATAGGATCTGTTGCATGGTCTGCGTCATCCGTATGTAAAATTGATCGATAAAAATGAGAGAAACAAGACGCGAAGTCGACCAATCTCTATCTCTTTCTATTCAGTCAATCACAATATGTTAGAAAGAGAAGATTGGTTGTCTTCGCGCTTTCTCTCTCTCTCTCTCTCTCTCTTTTATTTTTGTTGATCACATTTAATATACTATTTAGATACGAATAGCGCAGTTTATGCTCTATACCTACGTCTTTGGTTACATCGAAGATGTAAAAAGACTTTCAGAAATATTTAAAACTTTCAACTGTTTCAAAAACGTTTAACATTTAAGTTACAAATAGAAAATTAAAATTAAATATTCAATTGTATCAAAAATTTATCAAAGATGAATTTTTGCAATTTTTTTTTAGACACGTGTCTGCCATATATCTGGTATACATCTTTCTGGAACACCCCATATATCAAACAGTGCTCGAACCTTCATCGTTAATTATCGATATAATCGCTAATGATATCCTCTTTGCATACGTACCTAGAGTATATTACTATTCTTTTCTAGTAATCTTTGGTAATTCGGATGTGCATGGAACTATGATTATTATCACTGATTATTTAATCATAATCATCCTCGAAGTTACCCGCTAAATTCTACTTGATTAGGCTACCTTCAGAAAAGTCCTCCGATGAGTCACTTCCTTCATTAAATCCGACGACACATTTTTGTCCAAATCTTGAAGAAGGCCAGGCATTTAATCTTGATCGATATCGCGTAACCAAAGTTTGTTTCCTGCGCGAGATTAAACTACATCGGCTTCCGTGAAATTTAAGTAATTGTTCTTAAAATTAGCACGGCAAGAATCACATTCTAGAAAGAAAAAACCAGACTTAGACAATCGCTGCCACAATATGTTAGCAACGTCAGCGTTCATCAGCGAGATTTCTTGCTAAGACCCCACGATGGACGCATGTCATCGACTTGCCAAGTTTCTCCTCGAGGTCGATTCACGAGGAAGTGCAATAATCCCTCATCCAAGATGGCTGGAGAGACTACTGTAAGCATCCTCTTCCATTTCAAGCCGCCGTCAGTAGAGATCGGAAAAGGAGACCTGAGAGGAAACGCCTGAATGCAGATGATGAAGGGCGTGTAACTCCTCCATCGAGGTCGAGGGCATGCTGTTACTGTCGCCGAGTATGCTGGCTGCCGGTCCGACAGTCGGAGAATTGCCGGTGCTGGAGGACACCGTCGTTCCGGAACAGCCGACGTTGCTACCGGCGTTGCTACTGTCCTGTCGCATCAGGTTCCGTCGCCATTTCGCGCGCGCGTTTTGAAACCATACCTGAACAGACGCAAAATCAAGGGCCGCATAATTTCCGCATAATTTCAACTCTTTAATGGATTCTTCAACATCGATCGATAACTGAAGTGATACTCGTTCCAAGAATTTGAAATAGAAGAAAATTAAACAATGTATGTTTGGAGAGGTACGCTATAAAAAATATGGTGGTGTTATATAATTATATAATATAAGATTTGACATCATATTTTAGAACGGCGAATAGTAAAAATATGTGAGTTTACCATCATGGATGTTAAATATAATTCGTGTTGGTGATGATATAAACATCGTGGTGGTGTTAAATCCATTATGTTGATGTTTATATTGTTATCAACACGATGAGAAATATATTTAAATATCTATGGTGTTAAATCCACACCCATATTTTTTAGAGTGCAGGAGTTGACATAGATAGTTTATGCTCTTGCGATCAAAGGAAAATGGTCAATGGAGAAATCGTCAGTAATAATTGTCTCCTTATAAGCACTCGGCAGGATTGGCAAGTAATGCGTTATATATATATATATACTTGTAACGCCGTTACTTGTAATGGTTTGAAAAAGTCATTCGTTACTGAAAAAAATAATTTCTAATTTATAACGCGTTATTTTTTAGTAACAAGTAATGTTACACGTAACGTTACGCGTTACTCGTTATACTTATAACTTTTTCAGTGTAACTCGTAATAGTGACAAGTTACTTTTCAAAGTAGACTTTTCTAACCTTAGTACAAGCGTTTAGTTAGTTAGCGTTACCGTTATAAAAAATTACAACATCGTCATCAAATTGTTTAGTATAAAAAGTAACGACAAAGTAACTGAAAAGTAACGTTTGCCAACCCTGACACTCCGTACAAACGGAAGAGCTCGTACCTGCAGCACCCTTTTCGATAGACCAGTCTTCTGCGCGAGTTGCTTGAGGTCCTTGGCGTCCGGATTCTGATTTATCGCGAAGTAATTCTTCATAGTTCGCAATTGATGGTGCTTGAAACTGGTACGCATACGCTTCGTTCGCTGATTCTGGTGCACCGGTCCCGGGGAGCCCACGGATGCGTCGTACGCAGCCAGCGACTCCATCGACGAGGACAACTCCGTGGGATGCAGCAGTTCTGCAATGGCGATGTCCGCTAGAAAGTTTCTCTTTTCTTTTCCTTTTCAGTTTCGCCTCCAACTATCGACATCACACGGGAGCGACATGCGATAGAGGAGAAAAATGACGTAGAATAACGCATTTTAAGATTATCGAATCGTTTTATTCATGCATACGAAAAATTGCAAGCTCCAGAATCGAAAATTTAAAGTTTTTAGAATCCCGAAATATTGGGTACACAGTTGAAAGAAATCGCGAAATTCTGAAGAATTTCAAAACTTTCTCAAATAAGAAACGATCGATCGTCATGTCGAATTCATTTAAATTTGCAAGATATACCCTTTTTTTCGTCCAAGAATCATACATAAAAATCAAGACAGCTCCCTAATATTTTGTTTCTACTTCATTCTCCAATGTTCTTTAATTCATGAGCTATTCGCACAGAACGGTATAACTTCAGAAGGATTTTATCTCCGTGAAGTTCGACCCCTTTTCGTCGCGCTGCTGTCCCTTCCCATCTCGCGAACGTAACTGTGCTTTGCGAATCATCTCCAAAAAAAAAAGCGAAATCCATGTGTCGACGTTCGTCTCGATGAGAAAACGAATTCCGAAGGCGCCGTGGGGCCACATTCGCGAAAACGGTTTTTCTCCCTTTTCCCCTCTCTTCTCACTCTTTCTTTCTCGTTCTTTCTCTTCCTCTCGTTGGCGAACCAGCAGATCGCCGTCCGTTGGGAATGGAAGTTCAGAACAATAAACAGTAATAGCGCATACGTGCTCGGGGATTTACTTCTGGGATCCCCCCTCGCCCCTCTCGTCCCGCGTACTCGCTTCGTCGACTGGAACCCGTTCTTCTCCCGATTGAATTCAATGGTTACCCTCGTCGTCTTATTTATTGGATGCGTTCCTTCGCTCTGCCGGCGCGCAACAACTGCAACTGCGCACATAACTGCAGCACGCCTGTCCTCTTTCCGGTGATTCTCTTTCTCCCTTTCCGCGCTCCTTTATTTTCGTTCATCATAATTCAGTTAAATTCGTGCGGGGTGGCATGACCGCTAATTGATCAATTAATACAATTCTTCGTTTAAGAAATACCGTAGGAAGTTCCTTCCGCGTTTGCGGACAATTATTTTTCTCATAAAATGAGTCTATAAAAAAGAGAAGCTCTACTGTACCATCGAAAACCTAAATATACAGAGATTTCATTTTGCATTTACAAAAAACGCAATTAAACAGAAAAAAAGGAAAGACCAGTGATTCTGGTATGATTTTACGAATCGAATCGAAATTAGGACTTTCCCAGCGTGCCTTTCGATTCCGGCGGGGTCTTTCTGTCTGTGCAGAAAGAGGAACGGCTCCAAGCACCGGCGGACAGTGACAGATAGGTATCGGCACTGGGAGATGCATCGATTGGCCGATCTGCCCGGAAAAGAATGCTGCCGTGGCCAATGCGTGGCCACTGCCAGCAGAATGGCCGGCCAGAGCGCTATAATGCCGCCTGCGCAAGTTTCTTGCCGTGCCGCCGGCATCGGAATCCTTCTTTCGTTCTGTCGTCGAGTCTCAGTCCTCGATCTCGGCAATTTTGGCCTTCTAACTCGTCCTGACAAATTGTAATCTCATTCTTAAAACCGCCAAATCTATCCTCCCACCCTGTTCCCACCAAGCCGCTTGGAAGAGAAAAGCTTCCCAGGACTCGCGTGTGTTCTTCCCTCGTAAGAAAGGGCAGTATCTTTTCCAAAATAGACTAATATAAAATGTGTGACAAGAAATAAGCCAATATTTTTGCTATAAACCAAATTTACATGATAATAATTGAAATATATCGTTTATGTATCGATTTTTAAAAATCGAACAGTTACATCAAGAGCCGGTTGTTCGAATAAATTATGTAGTAATTTAACTACTGGATGAACAAAATAACAAAAGAGTAAGAGCATAAGAGAGTAAGAGAGTAAGACTGTGAGCTGAAGTTTATCGAAAGGTGGAACAACTCAATCTTAATGTTATAAAAATTGATTTTATATTCAACATTTAGGCTGAGTTGTTCTACCTTTTGGTAAATTTCACCTCACTGTCTTACTCTCTTATGCTTTTACTCTTTTATTTATCCGGTAGATAAATTATCACATAGTTTATCCGAAAATGGAACAACTGGCCCTTCATGTTGTTCGATTTTCATGTCACTTAGAAATCGAATTAAATCTAGTACTATTATATTCAAACTATTACATACAAAAAAAGTATGTACTTTTTCCTTAGATATCTCTACAGGATTTATTTTTATATATAAAATAGAGTAAGAAAATTATAGAAAATTCTGAATTCTTAAATCCTTACATGCAAAAATATAAAGGGACCTGAGACACCTACATAAGTTTTATATTAATGTACATATTTAAATGAACCAGTGTATAATTATTGCAACTGTAAAATTGTTCAATTATGGACATTAATTCTACGTATGAAACTTGTATTATACTTTATGAATGTATTAAACTCGTATTATAATTTATAGATGCTACTGTTATGTTTCTCTCTAAATATAGATTGAACCGCTTTGATAACTGTAATTTTCCGTTTAACGTAATCTAATACATCAGCTGGTATAGTGTCAGGTATTAGATGTGGTACGTTTCACAGTTTAGGAATAGTCTTCGGATTATCGTCTTCTTGCTTCTGTGCTGTTACTATGAGAGTTTCTCTACGATCCACCGTCGGTCGCTCGGCGTCTCGCCAAGACTCCCATCGTCGGCGTGTCCTTTTCGCAAAAACTGTCCCAATTATATATAAAGACAATAAAACACCGCGAGAGGGTTTCTCTCTCCCAGGCCGTCTGTTCCCACCCGTGATCACGCACGCAGGACTTCATGGACGATTTTATGGCTGTTGGTCGTAAATTCCGGTCGGTAGTCCGGGGAGAATGATCCTCGCTTTCGTCGATTATAAAATAACTGGGAATCACGCGCGGCACCGGTTGGTCGCCATCTTGGTTTGCGCCCGAGCCGAAACGATCATAAAATCGTATCGAAACGCGATACGATATGCGCGCCAGTTGGCAAATGACACAAGTCGAGCGAAGAATCGCCACGTTTTTAATTTCTGCCGATCGAAGTGCTGCAAATCCGCGTTGTTAAGATCGTAATTAACACCGCGATTTACGCGTGTGTCTACACTCAAGGTACCAACCATGCTGAGATTTGCGGAGCGTACACTATAATTCTCGCACGATTTTCATCGCACTGTAACTTCACTATCATTCGTTATCTATTCGAAAGAACGAAGAAATGAAGATTATAACCAGACGAAATGAGTGCTCCGAAATCACGATAGGATCTTTGTCATCAGGGATCCGCACTCTGAATCTTCGAGCAATTAGACATCTGCGTAGCGCGCGAGATTTCAAATCAAAGATTATCGCTCGCCAATGTCGAATGCTCCAGTTAACGAGCCGAATAATCGCGCGGACGAAATGAAATAACATCTGCGATTCTTGCAGGCTCGAGCAAATGTTTGCACGAAGGAACGCCCCATTATACCCGTTGCTCGGTAAATAATGCAACTCCGCCGTTGCATTAATTCGTTCGCTGTAGCGTAGAATAAAGAGAAGGCATAAGAATTGAGAGAGAGAGAGAGAGAGAGAGAGAGAGAGAGAGAATAAGAGGTAAATGGAAAAGAAAAGAGTGGGAGAGTCTGGCATCACAAGTACGAAAAACGAATGCCGAACTGAAGAGTCTAGGGGTAACTCTAGGGAAGAAAAAGGGCGCGAGGGACGATAACAAGAAGATCGTTCACGATCGATACAAGATTGCGGAACATACATTGGCTTGACTCACCGAGCGCTCCAGCGGCCAGTCTCATCGTGACGGGAAGCTCGGAGCCGGTGACTTCCGACAGCTTCCGCTTCCGCGGTCGGCCTTTCTGCACCGTGCCGGAAGTGATCGAGCTTTGCTCGTAGTAAGCCGGAAGCGGCGACACCCCTGGCGAGCCGAGGTCTTCGATACTGCCGGCAGCACCCCCGTAATCGCCGGCGCAGCACAGCAACTCGTAGTGTGGTCTTGGGAGCGACGTGCTCGTCAGTCGTCAACCTCTCTGTCAAGTAGTCGATAGACGACCTGACCTCCGCGTTATACGTTCGAGTTCGATGAACGAGTTCGACTCCGTGATACTACGCGGGGGTGGGATTTAACGAGCGGCTGGGATCATCGTTAGTCGAGGAATAAGTAGAGGATTAAATCGGCGAATCGTTGGGTGAATTCGAAGTATCTGGTTTCCTTACTGCGGTAAAATCTCTCGGAGTTGCGAGAAATTTTGATAGTTAGAAAATTTTACAGTGTACTCTTCTAAATCTTTTGGAGTGAAATCTCACTCTAACAGACTGAAGGTTGAATCAGTCTTGAACAAGAGTGGCAACTTTTCACTCTTTATAGGAATGAGATTTCATTCTTTTGGAATAAGATTTTTCTTTTGGAGTGAAAGTCATTCTAAGGAATGAAGTTTCGTTCATACTCCAAAAGAATAAAAATCTGCCACTCTTGTTCAAGAGTGAAAAGTTTTCACTCTTTTTTCAAGATTGGCTCAAATTTCACTCCAAAAGATTTAAAAAGTATACAATCTTAAGATACATATTTCATTTCGTAAACGTTTAGAAATGGAAGAATTAAATCACAGAACCTCTCTTATAAAAAATCTTGATATTTTTTTTTTTCATAAATTCTCATTCTCACGCCTCACGGTATCTGTCGTCGCGATCGTCTTCCCGGAACCCGAGACCAAATCCGTCCATTCCAATGACCATCATTAGCACTCAACAACCGTCATTAGCGCGGAGGGATGGTAAAGGGGAGAATGACTCGGTGCGACAAAGAGACTCGTGCTCCTGTCAACCTCGTCATCGAACTCGTTGATAACAAGGAGAGACGGCCTTTGAAGGATAGTAATGATCAGACACTCCTGTTTCTCACCTACAATACACGAGTCCGTCCCGCTGGCCGAAATGATCGCCTTTGTTCAGCGGGGTGCCGCACGAGGCGCAAGTGAAACACGCCACATGATATACCAGGTCGCGCGCTCGCATCACCAATTCCGAGGCGGAAATGCCAGCGCGACATCGGGAGCATCGAGACACCGCAAATAATCTGCAATCGCAACAATTCAAGAATTATCTTTCGGTGTATGAATTTTCAAATTCTGCAATCACGAGGTGTCAAACTTCTTTAATATTTCTAATATTTTTCAAAATACTCTTATATTCCCATTATTATTTTTGTGAAATTCTGTTCCTATAAAAATTAAAGACAAAAGAAAAAAAATTTAGCCATACATGATAAAATTAGTTTTCAACTTACATCGTTGAGGATTTTGAGTCGCAAAGTATTAAATTTTTGACAGAAATACACAATTATCACGTACATAAAAAACTAAAAAATTATTTATAACTTTTGACATGTCATTTTGACGATAATTCCTTGAAATCTAATATAAACATTGGTTTTGAAAATTTATTTGTTATTTCATCCCTGTAAAATAAGCACATATAAAAAATATTCCTATATTTATATGTTTCAAAATATATATTTTAAGATTTATATATATAAATCATCGGTTATAAACAGTCGGAAATATGTATTATTCACAAATTATTTAATAATAGATCAAAACATTTTATTATTTAAAAACGTTCAGAATTTGACGAACACTTACAGATATCGGAGTTTTCATGCTTTTACATTGATTATATTATTTATTTCACCCTTTCCGTTGGTACTAATTAAATGACAATTTGACTAAAACGTTACAAAAATTTCGAAGCGCTTGTTTAACTTGTATTTTTTAACGAGTTACATGCACTTCTAATTTTATTAATTTTGCCTGAAAGTTAGAGAAAACTAGATACGCTTAAGAATCTAACGGTACATTATATGATTTCCACATGTGTGTGTTTGCGAATGTATTGCGAATTCCCGCTTGAGGTGAATTTTGCAAGGGATCAAACCAGACCATTCACATTCGCCTAGATGGAAACAAAGGGCTCGCGTTGTTGCATATTGCATGTAGGAGGACGGCTGTCGAATTCCTCCCCTGCTCGCTCTAACGAACTCGCCTCTCGGCCTTTCATTCCACCCTCGCATCCTGAAACGTCGAACATCATCGCGTAAACGCGCTATTTCCCGTGATAAACGATATTTAATTTTTTGCTCACTACATATTATACAAATCTCGTTCCAATCTTTAGCCTCTCTGAGATTTCGACGCTACGAATGTTAAATCTTTTAATATAAATGTCAAATCTTAAAGATTCGAATGTACTAAATTTTTCTAATAATAACTTAATAAGCAAACTCTTTTCAGCATCTTTTGTTTTTCGAAATTAGCTTTCTTCTCGTTTTTCTTATGACTCTCCACATTCTTTATTGGCGAGTATATCGCCACGCCGAGCATGGAATTCAAGGTCTAATTCCTGAATAACGACTAAAGCTATGTATTTGGAAACGACTATTAGTGGACATTTTGTGTGGTCCATAGAAGAAGGCGTTTTGGTAAAAGAGAGCAAAGGAGAACTGTGCTTCTTATATGTAAATTCAACGCTAAATAAATATCAAAACAAAGGAGTGCATATTAATGAATCTGTTTCATACGCATCATTTATGTAATTCATCGTAGAACGTCCTCTCTCTGACGTAAAATTAGATTCGTTTCCTTCAAAACCGCAATAAATGTGAACGAAAGACACGTAGCTGTGAGCTTCGGAAATACGTAAATTTTTTTAAAAAGAAGATAATAAAATATTTCGGATAATATATGCAACAAGAATGTATAAGCTTTACAATAAAAACATTTTGTATTTTTATTAAATCTGACCCTTGTGAAAATCTGTGTTCATTTTTCAATATACTCGAGTGTTAATTTAACATAATGTGATTATATTGTTTGAATACTTTTTTAAATTGAGATTTAATATTCTTTAGTGTTAAAATAACAATTTATAAATAGTTAACTATATAATAATGTAAATATATAATATATTAAAATATAAATTTTAAAATAAATGAATATAAAAAATAAATGTATTTTAATTTAACATATTATAAACTTTAATTTTATTGAACAAATGTTTTCACAATTTGTTTCCAAATGATGTCAAAGTATCACATTTTTTGTATTAATTTCTTATAATGTACTACTTTCTACATATTCATCTTGTATTAAATTAATACAAAAATTTGTATGGGCCGGCACATCTAAAATGTGTCAAATTTAATACAAATTTT